AATGTTTAGAAGATGCAACTTTTTCTTCTGGGAGTACTCTGAGAGTATAGATAAACTACTTGTTATAATGAGATCTCAGTGTAGTCTGCATCATTAGTGAGAAAGCATTGTCTCATCATCATGTTGATGAATAATTTGAGTTTTTGATCCAAAAAACATTTGTTAAATTTATGAGAGTCACCAAGTTCTGTGCTCCCATCGGCTAATTTGCTGGTGATGAACAGGTTGTGCCGGTTTTCTTAAATATCCTCCGTTTCCCTCAGGATGTTGGAGAAGAGACGTGCAACCTGTTTACTAATTTGATTCTGATATGCTTGTGCTTGTTTCACTCATTCACTGCACCTTGCTTTGTGTGTGTTCTCAGAGTTAGAAAGTACATACTGTCCTGACACAGAATCCATCAAGTAAAGCCTATTTCAGTCTGATCTTTTTGTGTCTCGCTTCACCACTTTTAGTGCTTTTTATGTAGTTGCATCCTGGAAAACCTTGAATTTTAGAGATAAAGTGTGCTAACGCAGAGTGTCACATAAACACTGACCACCAGTGCTGTCCTATATTGTCAAAAACAATTCAGTTAGTTTAAAAGTTTTAAATTACTTTTTATGCCTCAAATGTATTCCAAATTCTTGTTTTGTGGGATATTTTATAAAAAATGTGATGTTTCTAAGACATTGGTCATATTTTAGTTTGATATATGTGAAGCAAAGACCACCGTCAGTTCAGTGAGTAGTGTGTTCATCCAGTCAGGATGTAGGAGGGTTTCATGCTGAGTTCTGAGTGAGCAAGACAGCTATCACTTATCTATTATTCAGTCTGTTTGAACACACATGCCCATCGGGTCTCAGCATAGCACAAGGAAAGCAAAAAATGTGGGCTTTTATTGGTTTCACAGGGTCCTTGGCTCTAGGTAAAATAGAGCCAGTTTTGCTCGTCCAGAATCTGTTTTTATGGATGAAATGTTTGTAAGGCTACAAGGTTTTGTTCACGAGGAGCCTTTAGCAGACGTCCCTGGCCGCCCTCTAGTCCCTCACTCCTCATGTCGTTTTTGTGGTCGACATCACATTTTAAGGCGAACATGCAGGTAAAGATCTTTTATTTGTTGTAGTGAAGCAGCTGTGAAGCAGGCCCTGCAGCGCAGAGTTTAATTCAGTCCAGGTTTCCTCGCTGTCTGTAATTAGTTTCATACAACCATGAGGGGAAGTCTGAAGATGCATCTAATTAGAATCAAGTGAGAGCAGTTAGATACACGAAACTCTGAAGATGCATCAAACACACACAGGTTTCACACAGGTACAGGCACACACAAGTAATACAACGACTAAAGTGGAGAGCTGTGTCTGTAGTATAGAATAAGAAATATTATATATATCTAAAAAGTACAGATACAGTAGCAGCATAAAACGGTAGGAAAGATTTGCCGGCCTTATTCTGTTTTACACGTCCCGAAGGTAAAGCTTTGAAAACCTTTTTGTGTTATTACCAAAATATCCTCACCTCACCTGAGGCACATTATTCTTACATCTTATTTTTTAACAGCAGTTCTGAAGCTCTGAGACCTTCTTTGAGCAGCAATAAAGCAAGTTGATGTTTGGGATCGATGAACGGTTCCATGATGGCGAGATTTGGCCTTTCATTCAAATTATGTAGCCTGTCAGTGAAAGCGGAAACTTTTCTTCATTTGAGCTACATCTAAACTTTTAGGCATGTTTTAGAAATAGACTGTAAATATAAGAATATAAATCCCAATTAAAATATGACGCCCCTTGAAAATGTTTCAATTCTGTGCCATGTGCTGTATAACAGGCCATGCTGTAGACGTCGCCACTGCTAAAATGAGGGCAGATAACCCTAACAGATGAAAAATAAACTCATTTAAATCAGACATTTCTTTCACTCTAACATAGATTCCTCAGAGATAAAGATGCACTTAAAGAGATACTTCTGTATCTGTTCTGCTTTCAAACTGTTCATCAACATGATGTCCTGATAAGAAGGTGCTTTCTTGGACTGTAAACTACAGTATGGCTTAACAGAAGCACTTTTTAATTAATCAAACATTTGTCAGTATCTTCAATTTAGCCGTATTAGGGAAAATAAGTTTAAGATGGACTACTGCACAAGTCAAATCTGTACTGAAGCTTTAGCTAAATTAATTTAAACATTTTTCCTAAATCATGTTTTTTGCAGAAAACCCCCAAAACTAAATATTTCGATGTATTAATTAGTTAGAACAGTGTAGAATGAATATAAACACAACACAACACATGTAAGCCTTCAGTGTCTCCACCACTGCACAGTGCTGAAAGAACTGACCCTTGGCTGAACCTAATTGTTGACCCACGTTAATGTGTTTTTCCCTAAAGAACTTTGCCTTGGATTAGCATTTTTAGTGTTTTTGGAACGCTTGGACATTAAATATACTCTAAATGTTAACATATTGAAATTTGTTTTGCTTTGAGATTTGACGGTGAAGAACAGCACACCTGTTTATTAAAGCTCGTAAAGTTTAATGGCCCCTGAACGCCATAATGGCGAACAGTTTGAGGAAAGGGAGGGGACGAGGGATTCAAACTCCTCAACAGAGCAATGTTGGAATTTGATTTACTGAGATAAAATTATAATTTCCCTGCTGCTTACCCTCCCCCTTAACAAATTTCAGCAGATCCCCCACAGCTCTCAGTGGTCTTCAGAAGGCTTCATGAGAAAGTTGTCCCTGTACAGATTTTACACCTCCCCGTACACCCCCCAACCCTCCCTCCACTCCTCTCTTCTCCTCTCCCATCAATTTCCCTCATTGTCATGGTAATGGACTCCATCGTGCGTGACCAAAACGGTCAACTTAATTGATGAAAAAGAGATCACCAAGAGGGGAGAGAAGAGGGGGTTTGCATATATCAGACATGAAGGATTTTCATTCACAGAAGGCTCAAGGAATACATTATGGCACTTGAAGACACTCGAAGAAGGCTGTCAGCGAGTTTGGATCTCTTGTGTAATGTGCTATTAGATTGCTTGGCGTGACTCAACCTGCGACCCAGACTTTGAAAACGTGCATTAATCATGAACATCTTTGTCAGGATACAGCAAGAGATAAAATCCAAAAACAGTTTCATTTAATAATCTTTGACCATTTCACCCAACAATTGGCACAAATCTTCTCATCGTTCTTTCCAAAAAAGTACCAAAATCAAAATGTAGAGTTTTCTCCACCCGTGTGAGTCCCATCACCAACGCACTCCCACACAGGATTATTCACAAATACACACAAACCTTACTCTCGCGGGACAAACTCGGCTAGCTCCCTTGTTGCCAGCTGGCCATGTTCCATGTTGTGGTAATGAGCACGTCAAAGGCCGCATTCTTCTCCCCCGCCAAGTAGTAAATAAAACACAACACA